GGGCATCATGGTTTGAGGATGCTTTGCTGCGTCAGGGCCTGGACGGATTGCTATCATCAAAAGAAAAATGAATTCCCAAGTTTATCAAGACATTTTGCAGGAGAACTTAAGGCCATCTGTCTACCAGCTGAAGCTCAACAGAAGATGGGTGTTGCAACAGGACAATGACCCAAAGCATTGAAGTAAATCAACAACAGAATGGCTTAAACAGAAGAAAATACGCCTTCTGAAGTGGCCCAGTCAGAGTCCTGACCTCAACCTGATTGAGATGCTGTGGCATGACCTCAAGAAAGCGATTCACACCAGACATCCCAAGAATATTGCTGAACTGAAACAGTTCTGTAAAGAGGAATGGTCAAGAATTACTCCTGACCATTGTGCACGTCTGATCTGCAACTACAGGAAACGTTTGGTTGAAGTTATTGCTGCCAAAGGAGGTTCAACCAATTATTAAATCCAAGGGTTCACATACTTTTTCCACCTGCACTGTGAATGTTTACATAGTGTAAAATAAAATCGTGTTCAATAAAAACATGGCAACATTTCATTCTTTGTGTTTTATAAGTTTAAGCAGACTGTGATTGTCTATTGTTGTGACTTAGATGATGATCAGATCACATTTTATGACCAATTTGTGCAGAAATCCATATCATTCCAAAGGGTTCACATACTTTTTCTTGCAACTGCATTATTGTTATTATTATGTTACTGATTGTCATAATTATATGATGGGCTATGTGCTTTTTATATACTGTTCTTATTATTACCCCTCCCCTAGCAGTAATAATAGGTTACTCTTTCATCCTTAAATATGGTACCATGCCTGATGACACTTTTCAGTGTGTCAGGCACACTCCCATATTCAAACGTCGGCCGCAATTTAGTGCGTGCCGACGTTTTATATTCTTTCCCATTAGTTTGTCTTGTCTCCATGACGACGGCCGCAGCTTTGTGCTTGTCGTCTGCTTTTAGATCCAGCCTACTTTCCATGACGATGGCCGCAGCTTTGTGTGTGCCGTCGTCATATAGACACATGCCCTGTTTTTTTAACGTCAGCCACAACTATATGCGTGCTGACGTTTAATCTCTGCCTACTGGTTTTGATGTCGGCGGTTGCCTAGTGCGCGCTGACATCTAGTACAAACTACGTATCCCAGTATACCATGCGGTTCCCATGCCGGTCACGTGACCGCATTGGAAAGTAATTTCTACTAAAAATAATCTTCGTTTTTAATGTTTTATAGCCAAACAATTTCTATATAGCCTATCATATTGTATATTTATTAAGAAAATTTACTTTTTAAATGTTTAAACTTGACTGTTTATAACTAAGATTCTGATTGTCTGTTCCTAATTTTGGTGCCAATTTCAAAGATTTGAACTGCTATTTCTTGCCAGGTATCATGTCCTTATTCCATATTGATAAAGCCTTATTGGCGAAACACGTTTGTGGATATTTTATATTGTGTATTTTTATATATTAAAGATTATTTGGTCACTTTTTACTTGTACCATTTATCTTTTTATACACTTTAGATTGTTTTTTTTACCTGGCATTTTTATTACCCTGGACTCCAAGTAATCCTAGGTGGGGATCATACCACCAGCGCTATCTTCAAGGAGCAGTTGGTCTGCTCCTCCCTTGTGAGTACCATTTTATATATTTTATTTCCATTATTTTATCCAGTGAGCACTATTGGTTGTCTCTTTTTTTAAGTGTCGAACATACCACTGACGGAGGAAGTTTACCCCATATCCCATAAGCGGGGATTGTACCGCTGTACGTCTTTTACACTAGAGCTATCTATACCTCTTGTACATGTGAGTTTTTTTTACCAGCCTTTTATATTTTATTTATTTTATTATTGGACGTATTGCATTATTTGGTTCTCTATTTGTGTTATCTCTTGCATATGAGTGGATCTACATGGATGAGGACAGCGAGGACATTGTTCCTGAGCAAGCACCTTATAGACTCTGACTCCAATAAGAGCATTTTAGATAAGACTCTTTTTATTTGGACTGTTATTATTGTTTTATATAAAGTCTCTCTGGCGCAGCCCTTATTTCCCATATTTTCTTCTTTTGTCATACTTTAAGGGTGTTTGAGGGATTCCCTTATAGGGTTGCTGCCCATTTGTTATTTAGCGCTTACTCTTTTTTCTTGTTTTATTCTGCCTGGAAGAAGGGCTGCAGTGGAATAGGCAGAGAGAACTATACCTGCCTGGAAGGAGAGTTGCTGCCTGGTCGGGTGCAAAAGCTCTAGAAGAACCCCAGTCAAGCTGCTGCGACTGGGGCAGAAGTGTTCCAGGGTCCCTGTAAGTGGCTAGGAAGCGGACTTGGCAGAGGTACCCAGCTGGGATACAGGGAGCTCTGTCACACCTGCAATGCCAGTATTGAGTCAGAACCCAATTGAGGAAGGGTTCGTGGGCAAAGACAAAGAGCAAGGGCAACAGAGGGAAGCCCTACTTAGTGCTGTTACATGTGGGAAATCGTTTTGTAAGAGCTCTGTTAATGCACAGTTGGGCTGTCTGGGTGGAGTAGAGGACTCTGATCCCGTTTAACACATTCGGGCCCATGCCGATTGCAAATAGGAAGTCCCAACCCACCCGGTCGAAGGCTTTCTCCCGTCTGTGATGGACCAAACCCAGTATCCTGATCGTGTTGTCCTGGGCCTCTCTCTTGGGCACAAAACCTACCTGGGAGGTATTGTTGGAACGTCAGGGATAGAATGTTTGTAAAAAATTTCAGGTCGCAGTTCAGCAGGAAGATTGGGAGATCGCTGGCACATTAGTCAATGTCCTTGCCCTCTTTCGGTATTAGGGAATGTTCAGTGAGGCCATGGCCCTCCCTGTTGGCATTGAATACCTTTAGAAATCTAGGGGCGAGAATGTCCGCATATTTTTTATAGTAGCTTGCTGGGAAGACATCCGGTCCTGGGCTTTTCCCTGTCTTTGCGGTCTTTATTGCTAGGGCTACTTCTTCGGCGATGATGGGGGCCCCTAGGGACTTAATCGCCTCTTCAGGAAGGTGTGTGTGTAAGTGTTTTGTCAGGTAGTCCTTTATCTTTCCTGTCTTATGTTGTTCGGATTCTTCGGTCTCTTGGTTGGGTGGCGGGCAGGGCCGGACTGGGAAGAAAATTAGGCCCCAGCATTTTTCAATCAGAGCAGCCCCCTAAGAAGGGGGTGGAACCAGAGAGGGTGTGTTTTGTCATCACTAATGACAAGCATGCCCCCTCTCAATGTGAACATGTTGGTTCATTGCGCAGAGCTCTGCTGAAGAGATCTAGCATTAGAAAAAGGCCCTGTATTTGTTCTGCACAGCACAAGCAAATGTAACAACATGCTTGTGCTGTGTTTGCTTTTAAATTGTCTCTGGTGTCTCCATAAGTGGGATACCAGAGGACAAAAGGGCCAGGAAAGTGTAAGGTACATGTGTTTTGGAGCCTGCTTGTGGGATTGCGTGTGTGTAGAGTGTGGTGTGGTATTGTGTAGATAGGTCAATTTCATTTGTGTTGTGGTTTAATATGTGTGGCTAGGGGCTGTAGAGAGTGTGTGTATAGGGGGCATAGTGTTATAGGGGATGTAGCGAGTGTGTGCATATGGCTGTAGTGTGTGTGTGTATAGGTGACGTAGTGTGTGTAGGGGTTGTAGAGAGTCTGTGTTTAGAGAATGTTGTATGTATAAAGGACCCAAAGTGTGTTAAGGAGGTTGTGTGTGTGTGTGTGTGTGTGTGTAGAGGATTAAGAGTGCATATAGGGTAAGGGATCTAGCGTGTATCTGGTGCGTAATGTGTGTAGTGGTGCAGTGTGAGGGGTGCTGTAGTGTGTGTGTGTGTGTATATATATATATTATATATAATTTGGAAGTATTGTATGTGTGAGGTGCGCAGTGTGTGTGTAGGTGCTGTGTGTGAGGGTGTTTTTATCTGCCGTCACATTCTAGGTTTCTAATTTTCTTTGTCTGTTAACTCACTGAGGGTTATTTTATATATATATATATATATATATATATATATGACTTTATATATATATATATATTTACAGAATCCAGCGCATTCGCTTATTCACTAAACAATGCTTTCAAAATCTTAGAGATTGTAATAGTTTTATTTAAAAACACCTCACCTAGGCAAAAAATAATGGGGGTTTAGTTACATTATATGATCATATATTGCATAAGCCTGCCACAACGTCAATGTACCCCATTCTTGGCAGGTCCTTCTCTAGCAGCCTAATGCTTGCCCTTATGAGATTAATCCACTTACTTTCACTTAATCTCTAAGATTTTGAAAGCATTGTTTAGTGAATAAGCGAGTGCGCTGGATTCTGTATTTTATATATTTTGGCCACAGCAGCACCCTGTAATGTATGCATGTTCAGGTGAGTGCAGCCCTCTTGGTTTTGTATATATATATATATGTGTATGTGTGTGGGAGTGTGATGTGTGTGTGTGGGAGTGTGCTGTTTGTGTGTGGGAGTGTGCTGTGTGTGTCTGAGGGCACTGTGTGTGCGTGTCTGGGGATGCTTTGTGTGTGAATTTATTTTTTATCTAAATTAATATATTTTTTTATTAATTAAAAAAAAAGTTTTACATGCCTTCCCTGGTGGTCTCAGTGGTGAGAGTGAACTCTAGCCTGCAGGTTACAGTTCACTCTCATGAGATCTGAGCGTTGCCGTGGTAACCGCGGTAATGCTCAGACCTTGCAAGAGGAACCCGGCGGAGCTGCTGGCCTGAGCTCCACCCGGTCCTCTCTCCTTTCCCTCTTTGATCTCCCCACCGGCCCACGAAGGCACACAGCAGGGTCCACGCTCGGGTAGAACAGGCACTGCATGGGCTGTCCAGGGAGATCCTGTGATCTCCCCTGCCGGCCTTGGCCCACGGCCATCGCGGCTCACCGGGCATTTGCCTGGTATGCATGATGGCCAGTCTGGGCCTGGTAGTGAGTAAAGGTCTGTGAAGTAATAGAGAAGAGTCACTGCTATATCTGTCTGCAGGTACCGCAGGTAATTGTCCTTGTCATGAATCTTGGCTATATAGGTGTGTGACCTATTTTTGGCAATCATGCGGGCCAGCAGGGAGCCGCATTTGTTGACATTCGCGTAAAAGAAGGTTTTGATACGAGTGAAAGCTCTTTGGTAAGAGTGGTTCATGAGGGCAGAGAGATCTCTCCATAGTACAGTCAGTTTGTGCCAGTCGGTTACGAGTCCTGCCTGTCTGTGTGTCATCTCTAATCTTTGTATTTTTTGGAGTAAGTGGTGAAAGTGCGCTGTACGTTCCTTTTTGACTGCTGAGCTTTTGGCTATCAGAAATCCATGCAGGGAGCATTTATAGGCCTCCCATTGGAGCAGTGGGGTGGTATCGTCATTGTCAGAAAAGAATTGCATGATTTGTGTATGAACCTCTTGGTCCGTGACCGGGTCAGTCAGTAGGTATTAGTTAAGTCTCCAGTTCAATGTTATCGGCCTGTATTGTGGGGAGGTCAAGGTCATCAGGACAGGTGCGTGATCCGGCCATGTCACTGTTCCAATTTGTCTAGAGTACATTTGGTTTGGGATTGAATAGAAGGTGAAGTCATTTGTGTCAGGGTTCATCGCTCTCCAGCAGTCGACCAGTCTGTGGTCATGTAGGCATTTTTGTATGTTTTGGAGGACGTGTATGAGAATGGATGATGTGCCAGATGATTTGTCAAATTTAGTGTCAAGGACAACATTGTGGCCACCCCCAAGCACAATGCATCCCTAGCCTTTTCATCTTTTAGTGTGTCAAGTGGGGTGAACTGGAGTTGTGACAAATGCTCCTTCCCACGTACGATTGCCACGGACTCCTGGAGGAGTGTAGAAGCCAGCCTCCTGCCCACCGACTATGGTGCAGGTCAGGGACACCATTTTGGAGTTACCCTGCCCAGCCACCCTTAATAGCTTTCCCTGGGTGCCCCTGGTTCGGCACTTTCCCTGGATGCCCCTGGTTTGGCACTTCCCCTTCATGCGAATAGAAACGAACGCTGGCTCTCTAGCGGCCGTTCGCATGAACCAAACCCATGAATAGTCCCAGCGGTACTTAGCTGCAACTGCTATTGAACTATATTCGGCATGAGGACTTCGTGGGTTCACAGTCACCTCAACAGGACTTAGCCGCAATGTTATTTGGGGATGTATAATATGTGAGGTTATTTTATGTTTTTATTATGTTTTGGGGTATTTTTATGTTTTTGTTTGCCTCTCTGTTCCTAGGAGATAATTAGCTTCCTTGGAGGAGCTTGTGGTGAAACATAGAAACATAGAATGTGACGGCAGATAAGAACCATTCGGCCCATCTAGTCTGCCCAATTTTCTAAAAACTTTCATTAGTCCCTAGCCTTATCTTATAGTTAGGATAGCTTTATGCCTATCCCATGCATGCTTAAACTCCTTTACTGTGTTAACCTCTACCACTTCAGCTGGAAGGCTATTCCATGCATCCACTACCCTCTCAGTAAAGTAATACTTCCTGATATTATTTTTTAAACCTTTGTCCCTCTAATTTAAGACTATGTCCTCTTGTTGTGGTAGTTTTTCTTCTTTAAATATAGTCTCCTCCTTTACTGTGTTGATTCCCTTTATATATTTAAATGTTTCTATCATATGCCCCCTGTCTCGTCTTTCCTCCAAGCTATACATGTTAAGATCCTTTAACCTTTCCTGGTAAGTTTTATCCCGCAATCCATGAACCAGTTTAGTAGCCCTTCTCTGAACCCTCTCTAAGGTATCAATATCCTTCTGAAGATATTGGAGAAGTGAAGATAATGGAGACCCTGTGCTGGGGTCTGTGTATAAAAAGGCTGTGTTTGGATGCATTAAACCACTTGACTCCCAGATCTATGTTTCGTTTGGTTACTGGGGGAATGGATGTCTGCATGTGTTAACCGTGGTCTGCTACAGGAGGTATTTGTGGATTAGAAATCGCTGTGTCCTTAGATTTTCCATCTGGGTTGTTACTTAGGAAGCATTGTGTGTAACGTGATCTGTGAGCTTGGGGATCTGGTTTTCACAGAAATGGGTCTCTATATGGGCTTTCTTGGCATGAAAGTGTCTCAGAGCTTGTGAGCGTTTTCCGGGTTTGTTTAGAGCTCTAGCATTGATGGATAGCAGAGTAATGTTAGCTTTCCTGAATGCCTTTCCTGAATGCCATGTTGGAGATGTAATGACTCTAGCGGAGGGTGCTGTTTTGGACTAGCCGTGAGGGCCGAGAGGTGCGGGGGGCATCAGGGCGGGGGAAGGAATTGTGGGAGGAGTCAGTGGCTCCCACCCCTTTTTAACAGGGTCTAGTTGGGGCTGATTTCCAGTCCTCCACGTCAGGGGATCACAAATCAGACTCCAGATACTCGAGAACTCAGAGGGACCACCGAACCTGACTTCTCCTGAGGATTAGTATTCCTGAGCCTGTATTGTGGTTCCCTGAAATAGGGTTAGTGGAGTATATTAAGGAAGTCCTCTGAAACAGCATATAATGAAGCTCAATATTAGAGGCTGAACCAAGAGAAGGTTACTCAATCTTGTGTTTGTACTGGTATCCATCGCGTGAGCAACAGGCAATCACCTCTCTCCCCTGCCTTCCACCTCTCATCTTCATTCCGGTCTCCCTATGATCTGTGCGGGTGAACTGTGTGGCGGTGAGTCGGTCACCTTTAGTGGTAGGACTGAGCACTAGGATGGGGCCCTGCAACGCAGTGTACCTTTTGCTAATGCTCTATTTCCTGCCATAATCAAGGGCTGATGGGGGTGGCTCTGTTCTTGTTATGCTGGTGATACCAGGGGAGTAGCGGGGTGGAGGACCCAGCTGTCAAACGGGTTTGCTAAGTTGGTCCTCTAAGTCTGGTTACTGGGAATATCAGAACATTTCGTAAAACACAATAACATGTCAACCTCCCTCCCCATCCCTCAATCCCGGCACCTTCAATAGTGTGCAGCGGTAACAAAGTTCAGGTGCTCAGTGAACTTGGTGAAGCGAGAAGTGCCTAGTGGACTCCTGCCTGGAGCGAGGCCTTCTCTGTGGTAGAGGGGGGATGTTGTTGGCCAGTAGAAGTCCATGGGGTCTGGCCATCATAGAGTGAAGTGTGATAGCTGCAGGATCTCTGCCATATCAGTGAGGTCTTGGTGTACCTCCACATGTGCCGTAGGTCTTCTCTAGTAGTTACGGCTTTAATGAGGCCCATCCAGTCCAGCAGGGATGAGGGAGATGGTCCATCTCTACTCGTGAATGGTGAAGGCGGAGATGAGGGCTCAGAGGAGAGGTAGGCGTCAGGTCCACCAGTGTAGACAGATACGAGCGCGTGGAGGTGTGTGAAGGTGCCTGTTTAGGTCCAGGGTGTTTGGAGGGACCGGGGTTTTTTAGTGTTCTTCCCCATTTTGAGCTCAGGATGCATTTTTAGGTGATACGGAGCTCAAGCCTTATGCTGCCATCTCGTTAGGCTGCTCGGCTACACCCCCGTCTGAATTGATTTTATGTCAAAATTCAAACTAATAACATTCCCCAATTCTGCATTTTTTTCATATATTGGTACCAATGCAACAACAAACAAACAATTAATAAGATAAATAATCAGTAAGTTGGCTTTTAAAGGGACATTGTAGGCACTCTAACTGCTTCATCTCAATCCTTAGGTGTCTTGGCTCCTAACAGTTACCTAGGCTCCTGGTAGAACACTCTTTAGGAGCCTACACTTACCCGATTTGATATTCATTGTTGGAGGCTTTCTGTTTAGCCACATTTTATCATATATTGTTTTGGAAATTTTTCCCATTTCAGTTTTCCCTTCGTGCAGTGATTAAATAAAATCTTGTTTGGATAAAGGAAATATCCATTTTCTTTTACTTGCTCATCTTACTATCTGTGACTTGCTGTAGGTTTAACTTAAAGGGACACTATAGTAACCAGAACATCTACAGCTTTTTGTATCAGTTCTGGTGAGTATAATTATTCCCTTCAGGCTCTTTGCAGTAAAAAAAACAAGGCAATGAGTAAGCGCTAAATAACACAATGTAGCAGCAACCCTATAAGGGAATCCCTCAAAAAACCTTAGACATAACACAAAGAGAAAAAATAAAAGTAAGGGCTGCGCTGAGTAAAACTCTGTATAAAACGAATAGTCCAGATAAAATAAGTGAATAAAAAGAGAAAGTCTTATCTAGAGGCGTCTGTTGAAGTCGTATATTATGGCGATACTTGGTCCAGAACAAATGTCCTTATTGATATCTTCCTTATGGATCAGCTCATATGCAAGAGATAAAAAATAAATAGAGAGCCAGATAGTGTAGTATATTTGATAGTTGAGGAAATAAAAGTATAAAAATCTGGAATGCAAACTCACATTTAAAAGAGCTAGGACCCGCTCTGGTGTGAAAGGCGTACAGAGGTTTGATCCCCGCTTATGGGATATGAAGTAAATTTCCTTCGTCTGTTTCCTCCGTCCGTGGTATGGTAAGCACTTGGGTAAAAAGAAACAGCCAATAGTGTTCTCTGGATAAGAAACTTTTAGATAAAATATAATAAAAATGGGTACTCACAAGATAGGAGCACATCAACTGCTCCTTGTTGTTGGCGCTGGTGGTATAATCCCCACCTAGGATTACTTGGAGTCCGGTGAGATAAAAGGATGCCAGGTAAAATGTAAATAAACGTGTATTAAAAGATAAGTGGTACAATTAAAAGTCACCAAATATACTTTAAAATTTTAAAAATACACAATATAATAACCACAAACGCGTTTCGCCAATACAGCGTTATCAATATGGGGAAAGAACCTGATACCTGGCAGTAAAATCTTTAAATAGCACATATAATCCTTTGAAATTGGCGCCAAAAATGTGAACAGCCAATCACAATGAAGATTGAGATTAATATAGCTAAAACATAATAAAAGCAAGAAAAATACAATATGTGTGAATAAAGATACATTATATCAGCTTGAAAATGTAGATACATATGTAAAATGAATTGGATATACTTAAAATAGTCAAATATAGCGCGGTCACGTGACCGGCATAAAACCGAGAGGGGTTGCTTCGTTTTATACAGAGTTTTACTCAGCGCAGCCCTTACTTTTATTTTTTCTCTTTGCAGTAAACACTTTTTTTCAGAGCAAATGCAGTGTTTACATTACAGCCTAGTCATAACTCCACTGGCGACTCCTCAGATGGCTGCTAGAGGTGGTTTCTGTGGTAGTGCTGCACAGACAGTCAATATCTCCACCCTCTGCATGGAGACATTAAACTGTCCTCATAGAGATGCATTGATATTTGGCTTGTGCTGGCTCTGCCTCTTTGACAAGCTCAGCCAATCCAATGCTTTCCTATGTGAAAGCATTGTGACTGGCTCAGAACAACACTTCTGATGATGTGAGTGAAGC